CGCAGCGTACCCACAGACAGCCGCATCGCCGAGGGGAGGAAGGGCGGGGAACTAAGCACGCTTTTTTATTTATTTATTTATTTTTTTTTTTATTTATTTTTTTTTTAGTGCGTGTCAGTTCCGCATGCAACTCGGGGAAAAAAGGAAATTGGGGTTGGCCGTGGCCGTAAGGCGGCAGCGTTACCCAAAAACCAATTATTCAGCCGCGAGAGATCGGGGAGGGGCGGAGTTCCAGAATCTCGCTGGGTACCGCCGTCACACCAACACTGAAGAGGACGCTCGTCTCGAAGAGTCTTGAACAGTGCTTTCAGGAGTGAAGAGGTTCTCTTGGCTCCGAAGCGAAAACATACTGCGGTTGCGTTCACTTCCTCCTTTTATACTCACGGAGTAGGGCGGAGTACGCTATGCAAATTTCCGCAGCCCCAAGGCATTGCATGCCATTGGCTCGTGTTTTAATACTCGAAGAGGATTGGCTTTCTATGCGAAACCCCCAATCTCCGTCACTTCTGACGTAACTCGAAGTGACTACGATAGGGAACCCAGGTTACTAACTTTTTTAAGTTATACCAACAATATTTTTTTACAATCATATTTTTTTTCTTTTGTCAAATCAACTTCAATAATTTATTTAGTTCAGATAACATATAATGTTGAGTTTCTGATGATTAAATCATTCTCCTTCATTGTATTAACTCACGTTTTCCAGTTCAATGAACTTAAAATTTTAAGGCAACCAGGTTACTTATTTTTTTAAGTTAAACCAACAATATTTTTTTTACAGTGCTGCAAATGTTCCCTTTTTCAAATGTAAATGGTAACCCAGAAGTCTGCAACCTGAGCAAGAGTAGAACGAAAAAAAAAAGAAAAAAAAAAGGATTTATTACCCCAGGTACTCGTTGCTTAATTAGCTGTATCTAAAAACAAACAAATTGAGGAGGAGAACAATGAACATAATGTCTCTTAATGCTTCCTTACACTCAAGGATAACTTTCTGTAATGCATCACTTCGAGCACCTAGCTCTCTCTTTATCTGCAATACGTCGACTCAAAACCTTAATCTTTCTGCCCACTGAACTAGACCAATCTCTTTCTTTGTGCTGATTGCTTCCTCTGTCAGGAAAAAGGTGTTTTGAGGTTAGCCCTTCCTTCGGGGAAGATAAAACGGATAAGGGAAGCGCAAAATATGATCAAGAATGGTAATACTACTACAAACACAAAAAAATATTGGTGTTTATATACAAATTTAGACCATTAAAAAAGACACATTTCCATTGTTTCTGTGAGTTAATATAATTTGAAGTGAATTTAAAGTGAGATCCAAAAGACATCCCTAGTGAAAATGCTTCTGTTTAACCTTTTTAATATACTGGTAATTTACAAAATTTAGAAATACTAAATATATATTTGCTGCTTTTACAATTGTTATTTTGTTGTTGTTGTTGTTGTTTATATCAAGAAATAATAAAAAATAAAAAGAATACTGGCCTTTTTTTTTTAGATCATTTAGATATTTAGGTAGTCAGGACAACTATTGTCAAAGATGCTTGACATTTACCATACAGTTTGGATTGGCTGTATGGTTTTGATCTGGGTAAGATCCCCCTGTGCATGCAGCCTACAGTAGTATGGATAAGAGCAGGGAGAGCATTAATAACCCCCTTAGGGTAAAAAGAACAGAACTAACATTAATGTATTGCAGATATCTTTTTTTGTCAATATTTTAATGCACAACATAATTAGAGAATTTATTCTGATTCAAAGGGGAATCAGATCCCAAATCCTGACAGATGAGAGGAGGAGCTGGGGATGGAGAAGGGTAATGAGCTCCTGAGAAATGCCAGCTGTTCTTAACACTGAAGGAGCTTATATATGTGATAAACGTCGTATTCATAATAGGTAGACGCAACGCATTCTCATAGGGAATCACCTAACTGACGCTTTTGACCATGCGTCTAAATCCGACGCACATGGCAACCTTTAGCGTCAGTTAAATGACGCTCATCCTAGGGCGTCATCTAACTGACGCTTTTGACCATGTGTCTAAATCCGACACACATGGCAACCTTTAGCGTCAGTTAAATGACGCTCATCTTAGGGTGTCATCTAACTGACGCTTTTGACCATGCGTCTAAATCTCACACACATGGCAACCTTTAGTGTCAGTTAGATGACGCTCATCCTAGGGCGTCATCTAACTAACGCTTTTGAACATGCGTCTAAATCCGACACACATGGCAACCTTTAGTGTCGGTTAGATGACTCTCATCTTAGGGCGTCATCTAAACTGAGGCTTTTGACGATGCGTCTAAATCCGACGCACATGGCAACCTTTAGCCTCAGTTAAATGACGCTCATCCTAGGGTGTCATCTAACGGAAGCTTTTGACCATGCAACTAAATCCGACGCACATGGCAACCTTTAGTGTCAGTTAGATGATGCTCATCCTAGGGTGTCATCTAACTGACGCTTTTGACCATGCGTCTAAATCTGGCAACCTTTAGCGTCAGTTAGATGACGCTCATCCTAGGGCGTCATCTAACTGACGCTTTTGACCATGCGTCTAAATCTCACACACATGGCAACCTTTAGTGTCAGTTAGATGACGCTCATCCTAGGGTGTCATCTAACTAACGCTTTTGATCATGCGTCTAAATCCGACACACATGGCAACCTTTAGTCTCAGTTAGATGACGCTCATCCTAGGGCGTCATCTAACTAACGCTTTTGCACATGCGTCTAAATCCGATACACATGGCAACCTTTAGTGTCGGTTAGATGACTCTCATCTTAGGGCGTCATCTAACTGAAGCTTTTGACTATGCGTCTAAATCCGACGCACATGGCAACCTTTAGCCTCAGTTAGATGACGCTCATCCTAGGGTGTCATCTAACTGAAGCTTTTGACGATGCGTCTAAATCCGACGCACATGGCAATCTTTAGTGTCGGTTAGATGACTCTCATCTTAGGGCGTCATCTAACTGAAGCTTTTGACGATGCGTCTAAATCCGACGCACATGGCAATCTTTAGCGTCAGTTAGATGACGCTCATCCTAGGGCATCATCTAACTGACGCTTTTGACCACGCGTCTAAATCTCACACACATGGCAACCTTTAGTGTCAGTTAGATGACGCTCATCCTAGGGTGTCATCTAACTAACGCTTTTGATCATGCGTCTAAATCCGATACACATTGCAACCTTTAGTCTCAGTTAGATGACGTTCATCCTAGGGCGTCATCTAACTAACGCTTTTGCACATGCGTCTAAATCCGATACACATGGCAACCTTTAGTGTCGGTTAGATGACTCTCATCTTAGGGCGTCATCTAACTGAAGCTTTTGACGATGCGTCTAAATCCGACGCACATGGCAATCTTTAGCGTCAGTTAGATGACGCTCATCCTAGGGCATCATCTAACTGACGCTTTTGACCATGCGTCTAAATCCGGCAACCTTTAGCGTCAGTTAGATGACGCTCATCCTAGGGCGTCATCTAACTGACGCTTTTGACCATGCGTCTAAATCTCACACACATGGCAACCTTTAGTGTCAGTTAGATGACGCTCATCCTAGGGTGTCATCTAACTAACGCTTTTGATCATGCGTCTAAATCCGACACACATGGCAACCTTTAGTCTCAGTTAGATGACGCTCATCCTAGGGCGTCATCTAACTAACGCTTTTGCACATGCGTCTAAATCCGATACACATGGCAACCTTTAGTGTCGGTTAGATGACTCTCATCTTAGGGCGTCATCTAACTGAAGCTTTTGACTATGCGTCTAAATCCGACGCACATGGCAACCTTTAGCCTCAGTTAGATGACGCTCATCCTAGGGTGTCATCTAACTGAAGCTTTTGACGATGCGTCTAAATCCGACGCACATGGCAATCTTTAGTGTCGGTTAGATGACTCTCATCTTAGGGCGTCATCTAACTGAAGCTTTTGACGATGCGTCTAAATCCGACGCACATGGCAATCTTTAGCGTCAGTTAGATGACGCTCATCCTAGGGCATCATCTAACTGACGCTTTTGACCACGCGTCTAAATCTCACACACATGGCAACCTTTAGCCTTAGTTAGATGACGCGGGTAGGTTTAGTTCTGCGGTAGGTTTAGGGTTAGACCACTAGGAGGCGCGTCTCATACTGACGCTAAAGGGTGCCATGTGCGTCGGATGTTGACGCATGGTCAAAAGCGTCAGTTAGATGACGCCTTAAGATGAGAACGGGCTGGTAGACGTGGATCAGCCGAGAGTCAGCTAATGAGAGTTGACTAGTGTGACCTGCCAGACCTGACACTACGATTGATTTAAATGTGCCATATTTATTATCAATAAATAAGGTAAATATGTAAGTAAATAAGTATGCAAGTAAGAAAGTAAAACAAACAAATGAAACCTAAAAACACGTACGGTCACATTTCTCCAGCAATACAAAAGTATTTACTTTTCTTCCACTAGTCTCTCTAGACTAAATAACATGTTGCTTCTCTGCAGGAACCCCAATCCAACTGACATTATAATCTTGTGTGGTTGAATGGGTCAATGGCCTGTTTTCAGTCAGGCATAGGATCAAAGGGCAGGATCAGATGCTCCTGGCACTGCCCAGCTGGGTGCCACACTCTTCCAGTTCACCAAAGGTCACACTCTTGGCCAGCCTGAGGTGCGTCGCCTCAACTAACAGGCATCCACCCAATGCCAACTGCTGAGTCGGTATTGTCATATCATAAAGTCCAGGTGGCTCCACCTGCTTGTTGTTGTGGCTTGGATGATTGTGAACAAAGTAGAGTGTGTCCAACATCACACCTGCTGTGTTATTCACCTGTTCTCCTTCCACTAGAGCCAATTCATGTAAAAATATGTGGCATTAGGCCATCAAAATAAATCTGGATGGTGTTCAAACTGTGAGTTTATTGATATTGACAGATCACAGTACAGTACCTGCATAGCTAATATCTTCCACAAGCATTACAATGGCCTACTTTAGGGTACTCACCTCTACAGTGGACTCCTTCGTCAAAACCGTCCTCACAGTCTTTTGCCCCATTACAGAGTTTGTTGAAGTGAATGCACTTTCTTGTCCCAATACACTGTATGTGATTTAGGGGACATCTGACTATCACCTCCACCGTACCTAAAGAACAGGAGAGAATGATGGTTTACATATGAGTATGGTGTAATTTTGTAAAAGCATATCATCTGCACAATTTCACAGGACTGTCAGTAATTACTTGAATAACTACTAAGACAGTTTAATGCAAATGTACGGAGTTCAGACAAATGTCACTTGTTTCAGTTTGCTAAGCTTTGAGGGATGCAACTGAAAATGGGGAACAATCCAGTTGATTGAGTTTTGCTTTAAATGCATTGCCAGCCCCGGAGTGATTTAATTTTGTGGCAAAAACTTTTTTTCAGCACCATTTCCTGTCTGTTTTTCTTTAAGAGAAATGGCTAATAGAATGGGCACAGGATTCTCATTTACAATTCATCCTTCCTCTTACCTATCCTAATGAATGCTAATTTAATTAGCAGGATAAAGGCAATACATCGCATACTGTAAAAGTAAAGTCCTGCAATGCAATGAGGTTGCAGAGCCAGTTTAATTAAACAGGCAGTTGTTTCAAAAGGGAGACTTCTATATATATAATAAACGAAAAATATGAAATAAAGTTTGGTGACAGTATGTTTATTTTAAAATAAATTATATTTTAAATATATATTTATAGAAATTCTTACTAATTTTTACTTTTATTCTGCTTCACACATTCAAGTTGATTAAAAGTGACATTAAATATATTTGTAATGTTGCAAAATATTAAAAAATAAATAAAATGTAAGCAACACAGCCATTAACAAAACTCATGATAATAATAATAATAATAATAATAATACAAAAATAATAATAATAATAAAAAAAAATCTGCATTGTCATTAGAGGAATAATTTCAATCTTAATATTTTCTTGTTTTTTAAGTTATTCACATTATGAAATTATGAACATATAACCAAAAAAAATGACTTTAAAACTCAAATTAAATACATTTTACACAATGATTAAATATGTAGCCATATAAGCATGCAAAAACACAGCAGAAACAACATTATTTAGGAACTTAGATAGACTCGAGATAAACAATGAAGTTTACTAAAACATGTTTTACATGTTTTACTAGTAAATCTAGCCCTATATAATGAACCTCACATGCATCTGTGCAGTTAACAGATGCTTACAAATAGGCTATACGCTGCTAAGCGATTTTGAATCACTGCGAGTGCGGTGAATCACTGTGAGTGAGTGAGTGAGTGACTGAGTGAGTGAGTGAAATATATATATATATATATATATATATATATATATATAGAGAGAGAGAGAGAGAGAGAGAGAGAGAGAGAGAGAGAGAGAGAGAGAGAGAGAGAGACAAAGCCTCAGAGATATCTATTGACACGGTTGCACCAAGCAGCTGTTTAAAGATTCATGAGGCACATAGGTGACCCTCATCTGCTTGAGCAGCCACAAGAACACATAAAACACGTCTAAGTGAAACATCGACTTCCATCTCGCACACTGTGAATATGTCACATTGCACCTTAACTACATTGGTATCAATTACCATAACTGCAACACAGCCACTTAGCGTGAGATTTATAGCTCGTGTGACAGGACCCCTTACAAATCTCCGGAGTCCCAGTTTCCTCCGTGCTCTGATTCTGCACCACTGAAAACATCCTCCGGAAGAGTCGGAGTTATTCATCGGCTTTCATTTCGACTTCATAAGATAAAATGACGCCATAATTAAGGGGGTCGTTTAGTGGGGGATTGTCATCCTTTAACATATAATAAGCGTATGATTTACTCGCCAATGCGCACTTCTGCTTTCCAATAACAATAATTCTCCTCACAAAAGCATCTCATTGTTCACACAGACGTTTTGTTATTTTTTTTCTCTGTCATGGAAATGTGCTGAATTTTTTTTTAGACCACCTCTTTCTGAGCCCCAAGGATATTCTAAATTAAGGAAAGTCAAATGTAAGTGACCTCAACTTTGCATACTCATATTTCAAACGTGAGTACAAAAGGCAGGCTAATCAACCTCACAACCTTGTGCCTTTTCTTCGGAGAGTTGGAGGAGAAGATACAAGACAGGCTTTTCAATTAAAACATCATTTGTTTCAAACCACGGCCTCTCTACATGCATACATGACTATAAGTGTCAGAGGGATTTCAGGGCCCAAATATGTTGATTAATATCCGTGCTAATTTTCAATTAAAATTGTACAGATATACTGGCAAACATCTCTCTAATTATGCATTCATGATGTGCTTTTCCATTATTCATTGGTAAATACAGCAGCAACACAACTGAGGAGGCACGTCACAAGCATTGCCCTGTTAACGCAGTGGAGTGAGGGGCTGTGACAAACTGTGATTATCCTAATAAAACTGCATTGTCAAATACAGAATCACTCCACTCACAAACTGATTGGGGACTAATCTAATCAGATGAGAGTGAGAGATGAATATTCAGGAGTTTCAGATGCACCATGCCGGATCACACAGATGGCGTCTGTGCAGTTGAAGGATGATAGGAAATTATTTCTCTTCACCCTGTACCGAATTAGAAGCCAGATAGCACGAGTGGCGAAACATCCTCCATCACGAGAAAACTCACGAAAGTGGAGGCGGAAAACACATGCTTATGATACTTGCATGTAGGAGAGCTGTCCAAAAAAAAAAAAAAATACAAAAACGTTAGAGATGAGTAACAGTTTATAGTGAATATGTTAGTGCTGTAACTTATCAGTTTATGCATTCCCTCAGTTTCAAACCATGACCTTGACATTACATATAGTCTCAGCCTTAGACATCATGCCTACACGTCTGATACATAAGGCACACAAAATTGCAAGATTGCAAGCACTTTGGGAGTTTTAAAGTTGGTTGTATTCTATAGGATTTCTGAGAGACTTGTGTCTTTAATGCTCTTAAACGGTCTGCATAGAAACAAATGTGTCCTGATGGATGTGAGGTTCATTATATAGGGCTAGATTTACTAAACAGGGCAAATTAGCGTGAGAGCACAATTACAAAAAAATACCAATGGGAGAGGGAAACATCTCAGGTTATGACTGTAACCCTTGTTCCCTGAGAAGGGAACAAGACACTGTGTCATTACGACACTTTGGGGAACACCCTTTGCGTAACATAATCTTAACTATGAATGAAACTAATCCAATCTGATTGGTGCTGCGTCATAACGTAACATGTGATGGCAAACACAGAAGCTACAAAGGGTCGCCGGCACACAACAGATTTAGCTTCTGTGATGAAGCAAGTCGCTCCCAGGCAGGGAACCTTGCGGAGGGATGCAGTGTCTCAATTCATTGGGACAATGAATAAAAAAACATTGGGGGAAAGGAGTACCGACTATACCACAACGAGCCCTGTCTGCGTACAGGCACACTTAGGACGAGATCACTAGAGTGCCTGGCGCAGGCCATAGAGATAGCCTGATAGGCCATAGAGATAGCCTGAACGATCTAGTTACTGATGTTCTGTTTAGATGTGGGAAGTACATTCTTGGTCAACTGGTCTGACTGCCAACACAAAGAAGACCTCTGGACATAAATATTGAGCGCTCTAAAAGGGTAGAGCGAATTAAGTCTTTCTTCATCTACAATCATGTGAGGTGGAGGATGAAAAGCCTGCAGAACAGTAGGGCATGCCACATTAGATGGCACTTTAGGCACATAGCCCGGCCTGGGATGCAAGATTTACTGGTGCATACTTCAGGCACCCATGAGGTAAAGAGGGTGCCTGAAGGTCTCCTAGTCTCCTCAGAGAAGTAAAATCTAATAAAAAAAAGCTACCTTGAGGGAAAGGTTCTTGCACAACCGACTCCAGAGGTTCGAAGGGGGCCTCGACCAGCCCTTCGAAAACAACTGTCAGGTCCCATGTGGAAACTCTGCTACACGTACCTTGAGTGTGGACGAGGTAAGACTAAGACTAGCTGAAGCCAACCGAGCAGTTAACTGGGTCAACGTCACGCTCTTTACACCAAGTGGAAACACATTTCACTTTAGGCCGTACAATCCCCTTTGGAAGGAGCTCTGGAACTGAGTATGGTTTCAACCACTCCTGCCGACAGACCAGCCTCTAGGTACTGAGTCCCCTCAGGGGCCAGACCCAAAGTTTCCAAGCCCAATGGAGCTGGATGGCTGAGAGAAAATCTCAGTGGAGAGTGGGATGTCCCTCGAAACGTAAACAAATCCACTTCTACTTGGCCGAACATCTCACATATCAAGTCTCTTGTCATCCTCGACAGGATGTCTGCTCTTTGATTCTGGTCCCCTGGGACGTGCATTGCTCTGAGAGGTAACAGTTTCCCCTGATGATTCAGAGATAACAGTTTCCATCAGGATCTGATGCACCAATCTGGATAGAGGGTCCGATCTCAGAACCCCCTGATGAATCAAGTAGGAGACCACCGACACATTGTCTGCGTGATGACACCTGAGGTCTGGGAGGAAGCTCCTCAGACCTCTGCCATCCATGACCACGCCCCATCCCGTGAGGGTGCCTTTGTCGAAGCGTCTTTTTGGCGACATGGCGGTCCCACACGGCCTTGGGACAGAAACCAAGCCATTTTTTCCACATTGACAGGGGCCGAAGGTATCTGCGCATAACCCTGATTATGCGGAACGGGTTCCCCCTCAGGGAAAACCATCCTTTTGTTTTCAACCACCACTGCAGGGCTCTCAGGTGCAGCAGGCTGAATGGAATGACGTGGGACGCTGCTGCCATGACTTCAAACACTCTCCAAAAATGTTTTACAGTAATAGCTTGGCCTAGCTTTATCCTGGTCACCGTGCCAGGATGGACTCGATCCGAGCAGGAAACAATTGTGCCCGCGTCATCACCAAGTCCCACACCAGATTATCTAGGCTTGTGCCAACATGCTTTTTTTTTCAGGTTGAGTCTCAACCCCAGGCTCTGGATGTGGGAAAGGGCAACATCTCAATGCCAATAATAATAATTAATAATAATAATTCATTACATTTATATAGCGCTTTTCTGGACACTCAAAGCGCTTCACATAGAGGGGGGAATCTCCTCAACCACCACCAGTGTGCAGC